GAAACGATTTTGATGATAAAATTAAAAGTCATTCTGAAAGTAAACACCCCCGCTTCAATGACAGCCGCATTTTGGAATTGTCAAAGCCAGGTATGGCGCCGTCTGCAGGCGAGGCCGTGACAGCGGCTGTGGACGTACGCAGCGTCGGCGACCTGCAGAGTCAACTCCGCGCCATGTCATATAGCGAGGTATTTGGACTGCTCTACCTTTAACTCTGCGCTCTGCCCACTTCACTAACGGTCTGCTGCAGCCATTCGGAGTGGAGAGTGCGCGCCTCGTCCGCCGCCTCCTTACAGACCTGGCGACGGCTTCGGAAGCGCGAGAAGCAACGGAGAAGAAGCTGGAGAAGGCACAGAGAGATGCACTGGAGCTGTCGCAGATCCTGCTGCCGCTGCGCAAGGAGAACGCGCAGCTCACGAAGGAAAACAACAGCGTAAGGTGGACGAGCGGTAGAACCAGGGGGGACGAGGTGTAGTCTGACCTCTCATTTGTATCCCAGCTCCACTTGGAGATTATCCACCAGGAAGAGGCGATTTCAGAGAGGCTGAGTCTTCAGTCGCCGATGCTTCTTCTTTCGTCCTTACTGCTCTTGTCCCTTCAACCGCTGAGTTTGTGCTGGCGATAGAAATGGCGCCATCGCCTTCAAACTTGGACAGGTGATAGGAGACATCTTGGCCATCGTGTAGCACCGGTGTACGATCCCCTCGGACGTCTTTCAGCTTGAACGCTGGGTTTATAGCCGGGTCACCCCTTGTCACCCCTGAATTTGGTATGACGTCGGCGTAATCGAGACGCCTCTCGTCTTCGTCGGCTTCTGTATCAGCTTCGATCCTTCTCCAGCGTTCGGCGCATGATAACTCTGGTCCATTTTCCACTGGAGGGGGTCGTGTTTCCACCGCCGTCGGAATAGGTTATTATAGTCTTTCCACAGCTGGCGGCTGGTGTGACAACCAGTCCTCGTACAGTCGTTGTTCCTTCTGCAGCAAATCTCTGTCCATCGCTGACTCAAATGCCAGTATCTGCCAATCCCGGATTTATGCCGACTTCACGTAGACATATCCCTTATTGGCCAGTACTCCGTGTGGTTGCCATTTTATCACATAAAAGTGAGGTGGGCACCAGACTGACTTGGGTCGTACGTTTGTAATTAGGACATGGGTTGGTCTTCCTCAACGATTAAAAACAACCGTTAGAATCTAACCCTTCGTCCGTCGCACCCATAAGTCATGCGTCGACTCACTGGGTTGCCGCCTTGGCAATTTGAACTCAGCGGTCATTCGACTTTCGATTGTTAACCCGTCTGGTGACCAACATGGGACATTTGGTCCGAGCTCGGTCTTTGTCGGCGCATTTCTTGATCGGATGAGTGGGATCACCATCTCATCGGGTAGCTTGACCGCCGAGTTGTACAGATCCAGACGGATCCCAGCTGGGATCATGAAGTCAGTGCCGAGAATCAAATCGACTCCGGCATGATGAGGCATTATCCACAGTTCAAACTCGTACGCCACTTCCCAGCCGAGTGTCACCTTCACAACTGCTCGTGACGTTGTCACCATTCTGTCTTTACTTATTCCTCGTGTGTCGATTCCCTTATATCGGCTGGCCACTCTCTTGAGACGCAGTTTCCTCGCGAAGTACTCACTAATCGCCGAGACATTTGCTCCGGTGTCCAATAGTATCTTGGTCCTTCAGTCGTTCACTACCCCCAATACGAGAGCTCTCATTCTAACCCGGCGATCAAAACGTCTGTGGCTGAACCCACAATCCCCAGCGGCTTCTCCTGGAAAGCCAGCTTACATGAATTGTGGTAAAGATGGCACAGCCGGGTTTCTGACGGCCGGAGCTAACACTGGCAATGCGCTGCGGTAGATATCATCTAAATTCACGGAGCTACAGTTCAATTCGCGTTCGATTTCACACATCCAATGGCCATCCCCGCCTCTTCCCTCGGGCGGTCCTGCTTCGCCTACGAAGGCAAAAAAGAAGTTCGCCTCAACTGCAGGTTCAGCTGACTGTGGCAGCCCGGCATATTCCAACCCAGTCAGTGTTGGCGGGCCGCCGAGTTTAAATCACTCGGCGTGTAAAGGTTTTGCAGGTCTTCTGGTACTTGCGACTTGTCGACAGAGTTTTATACGAACGCAGCCAGCTTCTCGTAGTGACGAAACAGCTCACACTGGCCGACTTCATGGACTTGTCTGCAGAATTTGCAGCGCCGCCGACAGTAGTGAGCCGAGTGCCCCGTTCTTCCACAAGCTACACAAGGTCCACGCTGTGAGATGTCGCGTGATCCATCTCCACGGTTCGACTGTTCTCGTTGGTTGTACGGTCGCGTAGGTCGGTTTGCCGAGTTCCCCCAACTTCGATTCGAGCTATTCTGGTCTCCCGCCGAGTTCTCTCGGCGGTTCGGTGTATTTCTCTTATCATTGGTAACGCCGGCGTCTATGTAGTCGTCGTCTTCCGCTGAGTCGTAGCCTCCGAACTGGTCCTCATCATCCCATTCGTCTTCGGAGTTGTACGGACTCGGCGGGTTCTGATCGAGGAGCTCCTCCCCGTCAGAGTCAGCGTCAACGACAGTGACTCGGCGGTCGCAGTTTCCTTCCTTGCGACTGCGCTTCACATCTCGACGTCCATCTCGGCGTTCATCGCGACGGCTTTGATCCTTCCGCTTATCGTCGCGGCCTCGTGCGATCACGAGCCGGTCGCGTTGCTTCTTGCGCTTTTCACCGAGGATCCGACGATTGATTATCTGCTCCACTTTACCGATGTCTTCCAACTGGAAGGGGTACATCAAATCCATCACATCGTCATCACCACAATGCAGCAAGAAGTGCTCGACATGGTCGGCGCCACCCTTCTCGTACTGGATCTTGGCTGTTCGAGCATACCCATTGAGTCGGATCAGGAAGTCGCAGATCGGCTCGTTGACCTTACGTCTCGCCGAGTAGTAACGAGTGCGGGCGGATTGGTCAAACTGTGAGCAATAATAGTCCAGGAACGCCGCGCTGAGTAGTTTCCAACGTCGCTGAGTGTTCTTTGGCAGCTGCCTATACCAACTCTTCGCCGCGCGTCCCAAGCATAGTGAGAAGGGTTCGCACCAGGCACTTTGGGGCATCTTGGTGCTCTTCATCTCGTAGATGAAACGCTTGAGCCACTGGAGCGATGTATCAGAACGGTAGCGCTTCCCTTCGAGCTCGGCGATTTTGTCGAGTGAGGCGTGGGTTCGGACTTCTAGGTACTGAGTCGAGTCTTCTTTCAGCCGCGTCGAAGCTCAAGTTTCGGATGTAGTCCTTCACGGTTTCTTCACGGTTTCCTCTCACATCGAAGGCTTCATCGCCCTCCTCGTCCTCCTCGTAAGCCTCAGCTTCGTCTGCAGCGTCATACAATTCGCGGTAACGACCTGCATTCCGCCGTCCACGACTCGGCGCTCGAAAGTCGGGTTGAGCTTCATTGGAGTCAGCTAGTGGGAGTCCTCGAAGTATGGAGTTCCTTGCGTACTTCACGTCTCTTCGTCTCCGGGGTCTTCGGCAAAGGAATAAAGCTTGGGTCTTCGCCAAGTGCCGTGAACTCGGCTACTCGGCTGTATA